GGGTGGGAGAGCTGGGCCTGGAGGCTCAGGATCTGCTCTCCTGATATGTGGGCAACACTTCCACGCCAGGCAGGGCTCGGCTGGCTCCCTACCCCTCCCCAGAGCTGCCGGGGCTTGGAGCTGAACCGCGAAAGCAAAGAAATACAAACCACCACCCACAGCCTCTCGCTCAGCCAAGCATCTCTGATCTGTCGCCACACTTGGCCGGCAGCCATCTCTGTAGCCTGAGGCCTCACAATCCAGACTGCCCCCCCACAAGAAGGCTGGGGCCACAGAGACAACACCTAGCAGCGTTCTCTCTCCAGAAAGGGGCCCAGGGGCACACCAGCTTTCCCCAGTGGACCTAGGACAGGCCTCCTCTTTGTCCCCCACTCTCCCAATACTTCTTTTTCTCACCCCAAAGTAAACACACACACACACACACACACACATACACACACACCTACAGTATCAAAAGTGCTGACCTCAGAAGCCAGTGTCTGTGCCCCCATCCCGCAGAGGGACCTTCCATCTATCTATTCAACAAAGATTTATTGAGCACCTAATATGTGCCATATACTGAGCTAGGCAGAGCTGTGTCCAAGACAGATAGCGTCTTTGCTGGCCTTTCCAGTAGGAGGGAACAGGGGACAAACGCAGCATGGGGTGGCGATGAAACAGACTGGGGTGATGGAGAGCCCCGAGGGGCTGCAATGCACAGGATGGCCAGGGAAGGCCTGTGCGAGGGGGAGCGCTGAAGCTGCACCTTTGAGGATGGGAAGGAGCCAGCAGGGCAGTGGTACAGGAAGGACCACTCCAGAGGGAGGACCCATCCAGGAAGGATCCTGGCCATGCGGCAGACAGGAGCCCACGGGCCAGGACCTTGGGAATGAGCAGTAGGGAGAAAGAGCTGATGTCCCTGGGGCAGCAAGGGCTCGGGGTTCAGGTGCTTGCAGGCCGCACTGAGATTCAAGCTATGTTCTGTGCCTTGGGGACCCCCAAGGGCTTGATGCAGGGCAGGGACCACAACAGGTTGGGATTCGCAGGGTCACATTTCAGCAGGCTTTACAGAAAGTGCGCTGCCGGTTAGCTGGGGACACAGCCCTGCTCCCCGAAGGTGATTCCCTGCCATGCAGCTGTGGGCAGGAGGATGGCCCGCTGACCTTCCCGCCCCTCCAGCTGCCACTGGGCAAGAGAACCTTCCACGCCAGCACTGCTGACTCACACAACAGTTGTGTCCCAGATGGACCATCCATGGTGCCAACTGCCTGGGCTGACAGAGCAGCTGAGCAATTCCTGGAAGTCCAGCCAGCGGCCCTTGGGTGACAACTTGGTGCTGCCTGAAGAGAATTTTCTCAGGCTGCCCAGGCAAGACCGGCCAATCTTGCAGATCAAGACCAGCATGTCAAGTGACCCTGACACGATACGGTCACTGGGCACAGAGGCGCTGAGTGGACAGCAGTCCAGAGTAGGACTGGAGCCTTTGATGCCAGCCCCACTCAGTCCTGTCCCAGGGGTAGCAGGGGTGGTGGGGAGCCTGCACATGTGCCCTAGTCCAGAACAGAGACTTTCGTGGGAACGCTCCTGAAAGTCAGCTGTGGTGGTGGTTCCAGACACCTTCCAGGCTTTCCGTGGCAGTATCTTGTTTATGACGAGGGGGGGGAGAGAACCTTAGTTTTGTTTTTGGGTTTTTTCGGTACCGGGAATCAAACTCAGGACCTCATGCTTGCCAGGCAGGCACTGTGCCACTGAGCTATAGCCCCTACCCCTAGAACCTCAATTTATAAAGCCAAGGAAAGCTTTAACTTCCAGCCGGCGCCAGGGTGCTCCTGCCAGGCCTACTCCGCCCTTCTTTGCCCCCGCTCACTGGGGGTGGGAGCCCCCTGTGCACTCGGCACCAGATTCCCTCTCTGTGCAGAATCACTGTGTGATGCCACCCCGCACCTCGAGGCTCCCCGGGGACCGTCGGCAGCAGAGTGCAGAGAAAGGCCTCGGGAGCTGCCCCCTCATGGGAGAGGGGCAGATGAATCACACTGCCCACCACAGGCAGGAGTCAGGGAAGGGCACGGCAGGGAGAGAGACCCTTGGCTGCTGCCCGAGTCCTGGATGCACTGGAAGTCCCCCGCTGCACTGGAAGCTTCATCCCTTTCATCAGCAATGCCCAAGGAGCAGCGGGTGCTGGACTCTCACCCACGCCAGCCGCTCCGTGAGGTAGGGTCGTGCTGCCCCCCAAGACTGGCTTCCGGCTCTGGCCGCAGACTCTGCCTAGGATCCAAACAGGTCTCTTCCTGGGCCTCAGTCTGCCAATAGTTAATGCAATTTTTTTCCTGATTGACAACAAGCACAACACCAAAACAGTCAACTATTTTTATCTCCGGATTAATCACAAAAAGGCTAACGCTTCCACCTTCCTTGTGATTAAAAATTAGGAGACCGAACTCTATAGTGGTTCAGGATAATAACCAGTCCTGGGAGGGGGATGCATGAATAATGCATCTCCGGCTCTGCTGCTCCACAACTCCCTCCTCTCCCCTCGCCCCTGCTCTGGGCTCCGGTCTGAATGGAGAGGTAATGAGTTGCACCCCTCCTTCCATCTGAGCTACAGCTGCCAGGAGTGACTGCTGATTTCTATTCAGCCGGCCACCTCCCAAACACCCTCCCGTTTCACCCCGCCCCTCCCCACCCACCCCACCCCCACCCCACCCCTCCTCCCCCCATCTGGTGTGCAGCCAGGCGAAAGCCAATCAATAATGCATGGGTACATGAATAACCAGCACGATAACCACTTATTTGGGAAGATGTAATCAGGACCCATTCTGAGGCTGGATGCTTGTGTGTGTGCATGCATGTGTGTTTGCCTGAGAACTCCCACAACACAGCCCAGCTCCTTCCCCCAAGTCTGCGCTCCTGCTAATCCAATATCCCCCAAACACAACACAGAGAAGCAAGAAGGCCAAGCTCAGGCCTCACAGACAGGTTTTTGCGAAGACCCTGGCCCCCAGCCTCAATGCCTTGATCAGAGTGAGAACACTTCTGTGCACCTGAGCAAAAAGTCCAGATAAAGCTGGTTCTCAAACATGGTCACTCTTGGGGATCCAATGGGGAGCTTTGGAAAGTCCTGAGGCCTGGGGCTCACCCCCAGCCAGAGACTGGGGCAGAGTGTATTCAGGGTATGAGGACACCAACAGCAGGATTTTTGGAAGCTCCTCAGAAGAGGGTGACAGGTAGCTGAGGTCACCAGCCCCTGTCTCAGACCCAACAGATGTCAGTGTGGAGGGAAAGGTCACATCCTCCTCATTTGCACCTGAGGGAGCTCACATGGAGGAAAGGGTCTGCCTTCCCGTCTTCCTCTGACCCACAGTACCTTCCACAGTCCTGTGCCTTTTGCTTGGGGGCGTGGGGGCTGCTGAGGAGAAGAACAGACCAAGCCTCCTCTTAATGCTGCAGTGTCCTGGGCCCCAGACAGCTCAGGAACCCGAGCTCCTCCCTCGTTGGCACCTGGTAGGGGGCAGCAGGACAGCGCCAAGCCCCAGCTCTCTGGGCTAGAGGGGCCCAGCCATGGCAGAGAGGTAAAATCATGCTCATCAGCCTCTAGTCACATCCCCCATCATGGAGTGGGAGCCCTGACTAGCCTCCCTGGCTCTTGGGCCATGTGGGCACTCAGGAGGCCACAGCACTGAGAGCGCTGGGATGGGCACAGCCAGTTGTCCTGCCTCTGGCCCATGCCCACCTGCTTCCTTCAGGCCTGGCGGCTCCAGGGCCTGTCAGGGAGGCCTGGCTTGAAAGCTCAGGGCCCTCAAGGTTGGATGAGGCTGATTTCTCCCTGGGCCAAGATCACTGCGGAGCCCAGGCAGTGATCCCCTTCCGGGACCAGGAAGGGCAGGCAGGGTGACGAGCCTGAAGATTTGCTGCCTTGGGTACCTGCCCTCCTGAGCTTCCGGAGAAGCCTGAGTGGACTGAGAACTGATGGCTGGCAGGCAGGAGGACAGGAAAGCCCTGGGACAGGCCCTGTGGGAATGGGTCGGAGCCAGAACCAGCCGAGCTGTAGTGTGGGCTCTGACACCTCCCCACACGCCCAACCAGACACCTGCCCGGTCTGGGTGGAAGGACAGGCTTCTCTGCAAGGGCAACCGTATGAGAAGAGCCTGTGTGCTGGTCTCCAAGCCTGCCATGCACTTGCCCTTCATGTGCTGGGCACACACTCAGCCCCTACTTCCGTGTGTCCGGGGAGGCCTCCCACCCCACCCAGGGAAAGGGGGACCGTAGCCTTGGACAGTCTCCGGTGAGCTCTCTTCTCCTGGGATTTTCCTGGTCCTCAATGTGTTCATGAGCACAAGCACTGCAAGAGGCCGCGGTCCTCAGAGAAGTCACTAGACTTGCTGGGCTCGGCACTAAATGCTGCTCAGTCGTCCACCATGGTAACCGCTCATCCCACAGCGCACGGCCATCGTGGAGCTCTGAGTGTCGCCCGCTGGGGGCCGTGTTTGTGGAGCTGCTGCCGGCACAGGGCTCTGGGTTGGAGCCTTGCCGCACAGGGTGCTCCAGTGCCTTCCCCCAGCACTGGGAGTCCCTTGATCGGGCCACAGTCAACAAGCTCATGGCCACACACGGCGGAGCCACTCTTGGGAGTAAAGTGCACAGGCAGTGAGGAGCGACCACAGCCCTCAAAGTGCCCCTCACTGCCGCCAGGGGGCACTGTCACCTGTTTCCGGTCTGGGTCGGCTGGCATCGAAAGGGTCAGGGGCCGGACACTTTGGCTGTGTGACCTTGAGCAAGTCGCTTCATCCTGCGGAGCCTCAGTTTCCAGACCTGTTTACCTGGGATAATAATCTCAAGTACAATAACAGTCTTCACTTTTCCAGGGTGTTGTGAGGATTAAATCAGGCGACAGGCACAGTGGCTTCTGGAGTCTTCGGTTTGTTAAAGTGATTTTAGCGTTTGTCGACCTCTTCCTTAGACCCACCCAAACTGCCACCCTAAGGAAGGGCCACCCCGCCTGACCCTCTGCTCCTCTCCCGCAGTGCCGCCCGATGACCCCGTCATCCTGGGGGGACCTGTGATCAGCCTGCGGGCCGGCGACCCCCTCAACCTCACCTGCCACGCAGACAATGCCAAGCCTGCAGCCTCCATCATCTGGCTGCGCAAGGGGGAGGTCATCAACGGGGCCACCTACTCCAAGGTGAGTCCGGCCGGGCTCGGCGGGGAGGAGCAGTCACTTGGTCTCTCTGCAGCTTTCTTTTGTCCGTGCCTGGTGTTTCTGTCTCTCTTCTTACCCTTCACCTGGTTCTGTACCTTTCACTTCTTTGGCTTTGTCTCTCATGCTGCGTCTCTCCCACAAGAGCCTCCCTCTCTGCCCTAGGGTAACCACTAGACAAGGTGAAAACCATGAAATAGGACACGGTCACAAGAGGAGACTCAGGGATGGACAAAATACAGGAGGCTGAGCCGAGTGTAGTGGCACACACCTATAATGCTAGTTCTTGGGAGGCTGAGGCAGGAGGATTGTTATGAGTTCAAGGCCATTCTGGGTTACATAGGAAGACTCTGTCTCAAAAAAGAATGAAAAGTAAAAAAATAGGATGCTGCTATGATCTGAATTGATTATGTCCTCCCAAAACTCACAGGTTGAAATCCTAACCCTCTTGGTGATGGTATTAGGAGGTGAGGACTTGGATAAATGATGGGATCATGAGGGTGGGGCTCTTGTACATGGGATTAGTGTCCTTATGAAAGAAACCCAAAGGAGACCTTTGCCCTTTCTACCAAGTGAGGATGCAGTGAGAAGACAACCATCTATAAACCAGATTTATGGTTCCTACCCCACAGCGATACCCTGATCTTGGACTTCCTGTCCTCCAGAACTGGGAGAAATAAATTTCTGTGGATTATAAACTCGAAAATAACCGAGTTTATGGTATCTTGATATGGCAAACCTGAATGAACTAAGACAGGTGCCTAATTAATTTGAGTTTTAGAAAAACAAAAGGTAAATTTTTAGTGCATGTCCTAAATATTGCATGGAGTACATTAACAGACCATATTTACCATAAAAAATTATGCTTTGTCTGAAACTAAGACTTAACTGGGCAACTGTATTCTTATTTGCTAAATCTGGCCTCCTCCATAGAGCAGCCAAGTGAGACTTGTTGGGTTTTGCTATGTCCTGGTTCCTGACTCAGGGGCCAAGGAGTCAGAAATCCAGCCCACGCTCTCTCCCCATGCCCTGTGTCCTGCTGCACTTCTTCCTTTATTCACATAAGGCGCCATGATGGGAAGTGCTTAATTTTTTTTTTTTCCCTGTAGTAGGGATGGAACCCAGAGGCACTCTACCACTGAGCTATATTCCCAGTCCTTTTTACTTTTTATTCTGAGACAGGATCTAAGTTGCCTGGGATGGCCTGGAATTTGCAATGCTCCTGCCTCAGCCTCCAGAGTAGCTGGGATTACTGTACCCAGCAATATCGTCAGTGCATGGGTGCACATGTGTGTGTTTGTGTGTGTGTGTGTGTGTGTGTTTTATGACGTCTTCACAGCTTGGGACCTGGCAGGCCCAGGAATGGGCTGCCTGTCCCAGAGTTAACCGATTCCTACAGGAAGAAAATAACTGAGTTTAATATGCAAACCCGCCAGTCTTGAGTCCACGCCCCCGTAACTGTAGTAGCTATCTCCCACAGCCCAGGGCACTGTCCCCAGGATCACGTTTCAGGAACTCTCTGCCAGTGATGTCACACCTATGGCACGCGTGCCAGAGCGGGCTGTGTATCATTGAAAGGAACATCACTGCTCTAGTCCACCCCAGACCACAGCAACGAATGAGGTCATCCAAGCTGACCTATCCTATGCCACATCCACTGCCACCCATCTCCTCCCCCATCGGCCATGGTACAGGTTCAGCCACACTCTCCCTTATTTCCTCTGCCCTGGTGACCCCGAAGCTCCCTGTGTGGTCCCCAAGGCATGGTACCCTGGCCTCTTGGGAAGCTTGTAACAAACCATCCTTGCTACGCAGTAGCCTCCTGACTATCGGCCTCACTATGCCGGAATAAAAACAAAATGCTGGATGCCTTTTGTAACAGTGTCCACCAAATGCCCTCCAGGAACCTGTGCAGAGGCCCCAGCAGGGTCTGTGTGCCGCAGAGCCTTTAAGAAGACAGGGCAGCTTCTCCAAGCTCGGTTGTCTGGGGACAGAACACCGAGTAGGTGCCACCAAGACTGGGACTGCGTTCTCCTGCTGCCCAGGCCTGTTCCTGTCTGTCCCTTCCAAGCACAGCTGCAGACAGATGGGCAGGCGCCCTGTGAGCCCAGAAGAGTCCCGAACCCTAGTGTTCTCCCCCGGCTGGGCCCTTTGTGGCCTCAGAGAGTGGAGAGGGACACAAGCTTCTCCCAGCCCCTCCCTGGTCTCCAGTGGCAGGGCGCTGGACTCTCTGAGGGGACTTCGCTATGGACGGGGATGAGTGCTGGCTCAAGGAAGTGCTGGGGCCAGTCCCACTGGGTGACACTGCCTCTCTCATCTCCAGGTGGGTCCTGTCTACTTCAGCACACAAACCCCAGCAGGGGCCATTTGGCTCAGCTTTGGGGAGGGACTGGAAGGCATGCCTTCCCCCGCATCTCCCTCTGGCACATTTCATAACATCACAGTGTGGCTCCAGCCCAGGGTGTGAGCAGATTTATCTCCCAAGAAGCAGCTTGCCCTGGCGGGACTTGTGCCTGGGGAAGGCATTTGTCTTGGGATCTGGCCCTGGGCTTTGGGTGGTGGCCAAACTTTGATCAAGTGACCCCTTGGCAGGGTAGTCGGATTGGGATGGAAATGACACACCCTCAGAGGAGAGCGGGCTTGCCTCACATCCTCTGCTGATGGCCAAGGCCTTTCTTCTCTTTCCAGGACCCACGAGGAGGAGCCAGTGGTGGGCAGGGGCTGGGAGAAGCTTGTGCTAGGCTGAGCCTCACAGCGGGGCAGGAACTTTGGCACTGCCTGCCGGGTCCAGGAGTGTCTGGCTGCCTCTTCCCGTTTGTCTTCCTGGACACCCAGCCCCAGTCACTTGGGCACAGCTGGGGACAGCCAGACTCCTCATTCCCCCTCCTTCACCAGGCCTGATACCAGAATGGAGGTCACGTGGCATTCATCCGGAAATCAGCAAGTCCACAAACCCCAGGGAGGACAGACAGGGTAGGGGGGAGGCTGAGCCCAGGGCAAACCTTCCCAGCCTGGCCCAGGAGCCAGCTCCATGCCCACCTAGCGGGTGGCATTTGGGGAGGAGGGAGGACTAGACTGTGCTGTGCTGGAGCCAGGCAGCCTGATTCGGTCTTGGGAGACACAAGCGTCCGGCCCCAGCCCTGCCTCTCTGTTTTCTCCAGCCTCGGGCTGCCTGCCTGCTGAACGGGCACTGCCCGCCCACCACCAGCTTCATTTGGGCTCGTGCTAAGAGGAGCTCGGAGAGTCTGCTCAGGAAAATGCTGGGGGCTGGCATCCCCTGGGCCATCAGCCTCCACCACACACCCTCCCCACTGGTAACCCCTCGCTCGATATCCCATCTGCCTAGAATCTCTACCCAGCTCCAGTGGTGTGGCAGCCACCCATGCTGCCCTTTTCTGTGACCGCGGGCCACAAGGCCGGATGCAGCGTCTGGGGCACATGACACTGTGCGGTCCTATGCTTTACCCACGCAGAGCTTATTGAGGCCAAGTGACAACAGGCCTGCTTGGATCCCCAAGCAGCAATAAAAAAGGGAAGCAGAGGAAAGACTAAAAAAAAGGACACAGCAGGTAGGGGAGGTGAGTGGGGAGGGAGAAGAGAGACAGCCTTGTTGCCAGGCAATCAGGCCGGCTCAAGGCCTCTCCAGGCTGTTTGCATAGCAATGAGCTTCCCATATTTAGCACCAGGGTTAGGGCACCCACGCTGCATTTCCTCCAGGTCCCTGGCTCCCAGCTGAAGGCCAAGGCCCCACTATTTGGAAAAAGCAGAGCCGCCCACACTAGGCAACTGCCCCAGGGTGCACTAACGGCCCTGCTGTCCGGCCTCCCAGGCTACTGCTGGGAAAACCAGGAGATAAACGCGGGGTCAGTGAGGGGAGGGTGCACAGACCGGAAGCAGCAGCACCGGAGCAAGCACTAAGTCACTGGAGCAGCCCAGAGGGCCCCTTAGAAGTGGGAATGAGCCAAGGCCCAGAACACCCACGAGCAGGAACAGGCATTGCCATCCTCTGAGACGGGTGCCCGACAGGCTCGTCCTGGGCACAGGATGCATTTATGCTGCAGTGCACGTATGTCCTGCTCCATATCCCCACCCTCAGGAACACCATCACAGTCACATGGGGCAGCCTGGACACCTGGGGGGCTGGGCCTGGCATCTGGCAGCACATTAGCACCTGAGCTGCAGGGAGGCTGTGGACGTGCTGGCTCCGGAAGTTAGTGACTTCCCAGAAGGAATCCACTTCCTCCCAGAGCTGATTTGCATGCTAGAGAAGATTTCGAAAGCCGGAGGTGGGGGCCTTAGTGCCGGCTGTGGATCCCCAGAGCCCAGCGCAGTGAGGGAAGAAGGGAGGAGAGAGGAGCAGGTCTGGGAGGGCCGAGGAGCAGCGCTGTGACGAGAATCAGCAAAAGACAGAAAGTTCTACCTGGACTCGGACTTTCAAGGCCACCAAGTCCCCAAGCTTCATTTGCATATGAGAAAATAGGTATAAAAGGGACATTGAGCAAAAGAAAAGAGGAAAGAGAAAGCAGAGGTGATCCGACCTGGTAGAGATGAAAGAAGAAAACCAGGGTGTAGAAGGGCCCCCCACCACTTTGCACCTCTGCAGGACCAGCCCCCTGGTGTCCAGGGCATCGCCTCCGCCCCTCACATATCCTCCAGCCCTGCCCGGCAACCTTGACCTTTCCCCGCTTCCCTGGGGGAGAGCCAGGGTCCGCCCTCCACTTTGGGGGTGCAGCTCTGGGGCCCTGGCTTCCTCCGCACTTTTTCCCCTTTGTTTAATGAACACATTTCCCTTTTTCTCTAATTAGGTGGAACAAACAAGTTGCACCAGCGTTTTTATTTCCCAGAAAAGCACCCGCCTGGACACAGTAAATATGCCATTAATCATCATTCCGAGGCAGAGGAGCACGCTGGGCTGGGGAGCAGGGAGGCGGGCAGGGTCTCATTACAGCCAGGCCTCCCTGCTGCCCCCACAGCACCCACAGGGCCCTAACACCCAGCCCCGGTCCAGCCAGTCTAGTGGGGTTCCTGCGCAGAGTCAAACTGATGTCAGGGTGTCTTGTTAGCACCTCAGAAAAAGAAAGGAAAGGAGATGGGGAGCACGATGTCCGCCCCTCCTCTCTTCCCCTTGCACTACCCCGAGGTCTTATTTTCATCCAGGAAATTGTTTCTTATTAGCGCTTCACTATTTATAGTCCTCCTGAGGTCTGCTGAGCAGCCCCAAGCCAGCACAGTCACGTGGTGCCGGCTGAGCTCCCTCCCAAGCTGGCTAAACCACACTCCCCTCGTCGCTTTTAGGGGCTTCCAGTGGGGCGCCCCTGCCCAGAGGCTGACCTTGAAGACTCTACCTTTGTGGGACTGCAGGGACCGGCCACATCCCTCTCCCCCAGCTCCTCAGCCCAGGAGCCAGGGCGGTCTGGCACCACACCTCCCAGGAAAGAAAGCGCACCGAAGCCTCAGGCCTGTGGGGCCCGTTTTGTGCGGTACAGGAGAAGTTTGAGGCTGCTGCCTCCTGGGTGGCTTTCTGTACACTCTTCAGTCAGGATCAGCCTACAGCAGGACGCACTGATCTAGATGCGTGCTCAGGCCAGCTGCTCCTAGTCCCAGAGGCCACAAGTCACACTCCAAATTGAGAGGAGCCACACTGAAATGCAGACCCAAAGGACAGATTCCAGCAGCCTACAGGTTGCTATTAACTAGCTCAGTAACTGGCCCCTAAGGTCGATAGTTACTGAGTTTCCACCTGCAAGGTGCAGCTCATAATTGCCGCTCTCTGGTGTCTCAGAGAGACAAGACAGAGGCTCAGTACTCAGGTCCCCCACCTGTAAATGCAAGTCCAGCTCTGCCCAGCAAGTTCTTGGCTTATTTTGAACTCTGTTATCTCTTGCAAAACAGAGCTAATGCTCCTTTGTTTCCAGGCCATTGAGAGAATTAGAGACAATGCCACCACGATTTTATGGGCGGTCTCCAGGGAGTGGAGCCCTCTCATCCCTGGCTACCACCCTGGCAAAGACAGACTGTATCCCACTCCCACCCCCAGGGATGAAGTCCGTTTCTAGACTAGAAGTCTTTGAAGCTGAGTTAGTTCAGTCCTCACGTGAGTCCCTCCCACCCAGCACACTCCGCAGGCCTGTGCCTTTCTTAAGGAGCCCCAGATCGCTGGGGAAGAAGCTAGAAGGGGCACAGGGGAGGAGAGGGCAGCAGCCCTCGTGGGGGAATCAGCCATAGAACAGTACTTTGGTCCAGTAGGAAAAGATGGGGACCTCAGAAAAGAGGAGAGAGTGGCTTCAGAACTTGTGCTGGTTTCTTAGCACTTCCATAACAAAGCACCACGATTTTGTGCTGACAACAAAAATCCCTTCTCTCACAGGTATGGAGGCCAACTCAGAAATCAAGGTGTCATAAAGACTAGGGATAAGGCTTCCTGGCCTCTTCTAGCTCCCGGTGGCTTCCCATCTTCCTTGCCTTGTAACAGTAGAGTTCAAGCTCTGGCTCCATTGTCACACGAGCCTCAGAGTCTGTGCCATCTCCTCCTCTTGAAAGGACACCAGTCATTGAACTTAGGACCTTCCCTACATCCAGGGTGATTTCGTCTCAAAATCCTCCACCAATTAATAATAACTACTCTGCAGAGACCTTTTTGTCAAGTAAGCTTGCATCCTAAGGTTCTAGGTGGACACGAATTTGGGGGGCTATTGTGCAACCCTCTGCAGACACCTAGTGCTTCTGTTACCACCAATGTGAAGTGTGAATTTGGTCACATCCCATCATCTCGTTCAATCTCACCTGTTTCCTGCCCCGTGCAAGGGAAAATGACAGCATCATCCTGCCATCGCTTGGTGGAGTCTCTAACGAGATCAAGAAATAGAATGATGGGAAATGTTGCAAGGGTTTACATTGAACAATAATGGAAGAGTGGGTGTCCACTGATTCCACCCCCATCCCTACCCAGCACTATTCTCACCTCCGTCCCCCAAACTGCACCCTCTTCTGAAGACTGTCACTGCTCAGGAGCCACAGGACCTACCAGTTCCAAACCATCCCCTTGCCTCCTGCAGACCCTGTGGCTCACTCAGACACCAGAGGCAGAATGATGTTCGGTTCATTTCAACAAAGGGCCTACCAAAGCATGGTTCCCGTTAGGCCCAGACTGGTTGCTTCTGTTCTGATTTACAAGTCCAGGCTGATTTTCAAACATGATAGCCATCTTTCCAGTTCCTTTTTTCTTCCACAGCCCAGAAACGATCCAGGGCTCTAGTGGAGATGGACATCCCACATCTCCTGAGCTAACCCCCAGTCCACACGCATACTCTCTACATTTGCTCCCTGCTTGTCTCTCGGAGCTGGGACCTATCGTCCACCCAGGCCATCCCAGCCCAATGACATGGACCCTTCTATCCCTTCTCACCCTCCAGACCCTGCTCCGTGATGGCAAGAGAGAAAGCATCGTCAGCACCCTCTTCATCTCCCCTGGAGACGTGGAGAATGGACAGAGCATTGTGTGCCGTGCCACCAACAAAGCCATCCCCGGAGGGAAGGAGACCTCGGTCACCATTGATATCCAGCGTGAGTGCAGATCAGTGCCCCCAGGCTGGCCAGGCCCAGTATGGGAACCGCTTGGCCGCCTTGCCATGGTCCAGGCAATCTGAAGGCAGGGGACAGTGCACACAGCTCTGCAGATGGTCACTTTCTGTGTCTGGGCACAAAGGACCATCTTATCCTTCTTACTGTCATGGGAAGCACAGATAAAGGTCCTTTGCAAAGGGCAACTTCACATCACACTTCAGCACCTTTATTAGGTGGAGCTTTCATGCCGATAAATACAGTCAGCCACTGGCCCTGCTGCTGGAAAGGAAGCCAGAGTGGAGACACTGGGATCTGAAGGGTACTAGGGCTCAGAAATGTGCCCTGGAGAAGGTCTATGGGCCGTTCTCAGGGAAGGGCCAGTCGAGGCTATAAGGAAGAGAAAGAATAGGTGTACAGTCAGCCCATACTTTGCATGCATTATCTCATTTAATCTGTTTAGAGGAGGTATGACTGTCTAGGGTACCTGAGGCACCAAAAGGTTAGCTAACTTGCCTAAGGCCACAGAGGTTTCAAGCCCAGGCAGGTTAGCTTTCCAGAATCCACCATGGTAACCCTCACTATCCTCCCACAGTCAGTCCTCGGCAGGTGGATATGGTAATATTAACAGTAACGAGGCTGATATGGTAATATTAACAGTAACAAGGGGCTGGGGATTTAGCTCAGCGGCAAAAGCGCCTGCCTGGCAAGCGCAAGGTCGTGAGTTCGGTTCCCGATACCAGAGAAAAACCAAAA